GCGAGTGGCGGCGGATGGGACCCCGACCGGCGGCCCGCGCCGGCCGCGCCGCTCTGCACGGCTCGTTACACGCGCAGAGACGGACATTTTTGCATTCTCTGAATATTTATTGGAGCCATTGGGCGGATGGGAAGGTCGGAGATGGCGGTCCGACTGGCGACTTTCCCGACGGCGGGGTGAGGAGGGGCGGCCCGTCGGAAACGACAGAGCGCTGAGGGCCCACGGACCTCTCTCTGCCGAGCCGGATTCACCGTTGCCTAATTCAGATGACTTTTCGTGTGTCCTGCAGCTGTGTCTATGTAGTACCCGCCCTTTGTCGGTGGCGGCAGTCGGCGGTAGGCCGGACAGGGACGGGGGGGAGCGGCTAGCCGGGGACACAGGTGACGACTCGGCCGGTCATGCCACGGTCGGCCGCCGCCGCCAATCACCTGCCATCGAGCAGATTGATTTATCAGCCGGACACGGCCGCCACGCCGGGATGTGGCCGCACTAACCAGCGGCGCTTACCCGCCCGCCCCCATCCCCGCCTCCGCCCCCTCCCCCCGCCGGACGTCCGGTCCGCACGCGCGCCGCACGCGCCGGCCGCATCGGCGCGCGCGCCGCGTTAAAAACTCTGCTCTCGTGCCGGCCCGTTTTGGCTGAGCGGAGCGCCGGTGTGCTCAGGAAGTGCCGGACACCGGGCCGGTAGGGAAGTGACCCGACTTCCGTGCCCCTGGCCCGCCCCAGCGGCGGCCGGCGCCCCTTAGTGCGACACGCCCTTTGTTAGTTCCTACTTTTTAGACACTGCTCACTGGCGCCATGAAATCACTAGCTTTAATGAGAAGGATAGCAAAAAGGGGATTGTGATTTGTGTCATACGCACGGCTGCCGTTTTTATTAGGCAAGTGACATGTTGCCCTCAGCGTTTGTCTAAATCAACACTTATTTGGTCTCTGCCAAATCTCACTTCGCCTTTAAATAGCAAAAACTGTCAAATTTGACGTTTTTTGTGGAAAAATTCTCTGCAGTAAGAGCTTTGGTCACAAAACTTTCATGCAGTGGATTTAGTGATATGGTGTTTTTTTTTTCTCGTCAAGACGCGTCAAAGGAACCTTTATTTAATCTTTTAGGGACAACTTCTAAAAAAAAAATGATCTAAAGTCGATGTCATTCATGAAGGTCATGCTGCATATCTCATTCATCTGTACAGTTGCTTGTGGACTAATTACCGATAGACTAGCCTGCATCGATATTCGGTAAAGTCACATCTGTATAGTTGCTCAATATACCCAAAGCGCTACTTTCCTGTAATTAATTTAGCAATATTTATCGTCCAACTCTGTCGATGACCTTTCATGAGTTGGATGAGCTCAAGGGTATAAGGTAGGGCCACGCCCCACGGGTACAATAATCACCAACTACATGATTTTGCGAACATAGGCGGCGGAACGGGGAGGGCACCAGGGCACCGTGCCCCCTTTGATTTTCGCATTTTAACATTAGCCCTATGGGCGTTGCATGGAAACAATGGGACTAAAAGTCGGCAGTGCCCCCCCCCCTTAATTGAGGGCGTTCTGCCGCTACTGTTTGCGAACATTTAGTAGGTATGACTCGTTCAAAAAAGGCGCAGTACAATTTCACCACATTATGCAAATCAAAGGCTTGCAGAATGCTTCACCTTAGTTAATCGATATAAATAAATTCGTGACATATCTGCGTTTTATACGTCATGTCACACTTATTAAACACTGAAAGTTTCTATGCAATCCTCTACAGATGTGGCCATGTAGAGGATTTTCGTTTGCATTTTTCTGTCGTAGGTTGGGTCACCTGATGGACCTAGTGGCCTGGCTTTGAATGGTTTCAGTTTCATAACCTGTACGGAAACGATGCATCTAAAGATGTGCCAAAAATGGTTGAGCTGGATTGTCGACGTTTTTATCCATTCGGAAAAAATATATGAAGGTGGGCGTAATAAACACATCTCTGCTAAGTGCCACGGTAGTTTCCAGTAAAAACTACTTGCGATTCCGGTAGTTTCCAGTAAAAGCTACTTGCGATTCGTTTCATTGTTACAAATTCCTTAAATTTAGCCATAAACATTTTTACTCTAAATTGAATAACGCTTATCAGAACTGAAGAAAATGCACTTATTGACTATTGCTCATCAGTGCCTGCTCGGCTTCATTTCTATGATTTTTCTTGACGCTCTGAATAACTTTCAGCTATCTCTCTGTGACTAAGTCACTGGGTTAGATGACCCCGAGTCACCTCTATGACTCTGCCAGGGGTAACCCTGTGGTGTCCCACCATCCAGCGTCCAGCCCGGGTCGCCACTCACACCCACCGTCTACTGCCACCTAGCGGCGTCGCCGAACAACCGCGACACAATACAGCTCGGCTCCGGCGACCGCTCGGAAAGTTTCACAGTCTGAAGGAAAGATTAGCACTGATGTCAGTCAACTCAGTATTGATGTTGAGGCAGGCCATAATTACGATTCTGATTAATAGCTGCGCGGTCCGCTGGGAAATCACGGTAATTCAAAGTGCTCCGCTATAACCGACAAAACTCTGACGTGATTTACAACGGACCATATTGGCAATCTGAGGCCTATTGCGCTCCTCGACGAACCAGCAAAACGGTGCTTACTCAGAAGTCACAATTAAAAACTCACGGCTTGAGAACCAACATTAGCTGGTGGTACAGTGGGAAATAATAAAAACATAAGCGTTAAAAAATTAGCCCAATGATGTTAAACTCTTCCCTAAGGATTCAATGCTTCGATGTGGTGGTCTAGGTATAGGAGTGCCTTTAGGAAAAGCAGACAAGCAACACCTGTGAATCTAAAACTTAAGCTGCTTTTCAATCGATTTCTTATAATAAAAGAAAAATCGTTGCATACCTAATCGTCCGTAACTACATTGAGTGAATAATCGGCACAGTGATCATACATGGCTGAATAGCAAGTTTACCGTAATGAACCGTGAGAACTTGCGGCGGAAGGCCTCATCATTTCAACAAAATTGTTTGCTTGCTTATTTAATACCGTTCGATTTAATAGTTCCCACTTCCTAACAGCATGGATAGGTGGAAGTTCTGCGATTTCCGTGCATTATAATAGTCAGTTTCACGTAAAAAATAATAATTTTCCAGACTGTTGATGGCCACTTTTTATATAAAAATATTTTTCTCTTCAGAAAAAGCCAAATCCCCACCTACCAATTCTCATGCCTGGCAAAGCTGCTTGGAACGAAGCGGTCCGACATGCAATGTACGCATCACATCTAAATTTAGTCCCGGGTTAACAAAGGGATGAGAATGCACAAACCGCAAAATGCCTGTAAAGTGGGTGGTGCAAGGTTTAGTGTTCTTTCTACCGGTACGAGTCACATGGTTGGCGCTCACTTCCTCATTTACGCTGCCCACACAGCCGGTAAAAATACCACCAGTGCGACGTTCCGGTAGTCTGGAAATTTCCACAGCGACTTCAGAGTCAGGATACAAGAAGCGAAGGCTCAGAGTCCATTACAATACACTGGCCGCAATATTTGACGTCTCAGCGAGCCACGGGTCACGTGACTCAGCTAGCCCCCCCCCCCCCCCCCGAGGCTGGATCCGACCAGTGTGATTTATTCCCTAGCCGTCGATGGCTGTTTCTCGGCCGGACTGCGGGCCCTCCAGAATACAGCCGCCCGCTTATCGTACGCATTTCCACATAATAAAAAGCTCTCGCATTAATTTTTGTGTTTTATGAGCAGGGTGGACGTCCGAAGTCGCGTGGTATTATGAAAAAATATGGCTTTTATCTGGACTCGACAGAAAAGCCCTGTCGGCGACACTGATAAAATGGAAATCTGGCGTTTTTGCCGGCTGCCTTTGTCTGTGGACGGCGGATCCTACTCATTCCCCCCTCTCGTCGATGGAGGCTGAGGCAATAACTGGACGTGTCGGCGGCGGTGCGCTAATCTCCATATTTGATGCCGTGTCAGCCCGGCTGTCCAGGCGGCGGACCGGCACCTCTCCCGTCGACCCGGCTCGAGTCGGTCACTCGGCGAGTGAAAATGACCGTCCCAAAGCCCCGCTTACACGGCGCGAGATGTGCGAGTCACATGCCCACATTTTCAGCCTTTCAGTCATGCTTTATAAGCATAAATCGACCAGAGTGGTATGAGAACTAAGTGGCCGATGGTGCCGTATTTACTCTATTACATTCAAGATAATCGCACTTAATGTATAATATCCTGCTTATTATTTTGATTACATGGTGTGCACTGTTTCACACAATTTGACACCATGCGCCGTTAATATTTCAGCAGCTCCCACTCAATGGCTGCGGCCACTGTTCAGCGGATGGTAGCCCTCCTTGGGCTACGGGGCAAGACGGTCTGATATGGGACCGGCACGACGGCGGTGGCAGTGCAGCTCAACATGAGAATTCTTTGTCCATGAAAAAGTCCTCGTTTATATAAGATGGCATGGATAATGGAATTGAAAGCTATGGTTAAAATCCCGTTCCCTTTCCTTACCAAATGTACATGAGCCCTCAGCCCAATCTTCTGCAGCAATTTTTCATTTCAGCATCGTAGCTTTTCATTCTGAATCTATTAGGTACAACGTTTTATAGTTTTCACTATAACCTAGATGTTTGTACATCTGAAAACATTTCCTTACAATATGTGCAGCCGTCCTCAATGCCTGCAGGCTGCAGATCGTTAAAATGTCCGCTGTGACACAAGCATAACATCGAAAACTCTCGTGACCAGCCGGCAGCCATCACTCGATCACAAAAAGGATACCCTGTTACTCTCGGGAATCAGAATTCCGAGTGCGGCAATAAAACTGTCAGTGGCACTATATCAGGCTTTTTACCCCGGCGCAGAGCTTTTTAGTTATTGTCAATTTCCAGCGATTCGGCAATGTTTCCGCCCCATTGAGTGGCGCTCTCCACCGCAAATGCTAAAAAGCGGGCCGTGGCGGCGGCCTCGTGGGGTCGGCCCCGCCGGACTGCGTGCCGGCTGCGTCAGCAGAGAGTGTCGGAGCCGATGCGACGAAGACGACGAATCGGTCCTGACAGCGGATCAGCGGGGACAGGTGACCGGCAGCGACGGTATAGCTGAACGGAGAGGGAGAAAGCTTTATGTATTTAAACTCGCACAGAAAATAAACCGACTTTGCAAAAACAGCACTCCGCGGCCGCCCCACGCCGCTCCCTCACGCTCTCCCTCCCGCCGACGACTCGCCGCTCATACATTTTCCACAACAAATACCAGCCGCACGCGATAACTCGCACGCGCGCCCTGCACCGGACGCGCCTCCGCACAGCGGCAACTACACCTCCCCCTGATCCTGAGGATCATTTACATCCCTCACAGAAACATCCTTGCGGAGGACGGCGGGTGCGCTGACTTCGCCGAGGAGCCACGGCAGGAGGCTCCGGCGCTGGAGCGTCGCATAACTCCGGCCCCTGCTCAACTGGAGCCGGCTGGAGGACTGGGAGAGACGGGGGATCCATCACGTAGATGGGGTCGTCCGCGTCAATTTCAGCACATGGGGGTGGCTCACTATTTCTGCGCCGCCGCAAATCCCTGACGTGTCGTGGCATACCGTCCACATCGACAACCTGCGGAGAGACCACCGCCGTGACGGTACCCCGGCGGGACGGCTCCGTGCAGCGCGTCCCCCGTCGGCGCACCCACACCGCGTCTCCGACTGTGTAAGGGCCCGTCTCCACCGCAGGGAGCTCCCGCGCCCCGGCACCACCGTCCGCGGCCGTCCCTGGCGGAGCAGCCGGCAACCGCACACAGTCACTCGGCTCGTACCTGTACACGCCACAAAACGGGGCGCTGGCCACCGCCTCGCCGTCACGCGGCGTCACATTATACAAGTGCACCGCCTCGGCGATATCGCACCGTTTCCGGGCGGCGATCACTTTCACTGTCCGGTGGCAGCGCTCGATGACACCGTTCCCGCTCGGTGCATGGGCCGCCCGGAACCTCACCGCCACTCCCCAGCGCGCGGCGAGCACGGCAAACGGTCGGCCGCGGAACACAGGATCGTTATCACACAACAGCTCCGCCGGAGCTCCTCGATCAAAAAATATCTCCTCCAGCCGCTGAATAACGCACACACTGTCCTGCCGTCGCAGCGGCCGCCACACAGTGAACCGCGACGGCCCGCAGTCGATTACACTGAGGTACGGATGGCCCCCATAATGAGTTATATCAATGGCCAGTCTGTGCCACGTCTGTGGTACACCCAACGACCCGTGTCGCCACTTTACTGGAGCCGGGTCGATCGCTCGACAGACATCACAATTTGTCACCACAGCGCGTACCTGGTCTCTCGAGACGCGGCCGATACATCGGCGAGCAAAATACAATGTCCGTCGGACGCCCGGATGACCAGCTCGCTCGTGCACTTCAGCCACGCTCTCTGCGCCATCGAGGCTCGCGTTTACAGCGTTCGGCTCTTCCGCTGTGGCCGCGCTTACTGCCGACGGTTCACCCACCGCGGCTGCGCTCACTGCCGGCTCGCCCGCGGCAGCTACTCCCACTGCCGACGGCCCGCCCGCTGCGGCCGCGCTCACTGCCGCCGCGCTCACTGCCGACGGCTCGCCCGATGCAGCCGCGCTCACAGCCGCCGTGCTCACTGCCGACGGCTCGTCCGATGTAGCCGCGCTCACAGCGGCCGCACTCACTGCCGACGGCTCGCCCGCTGCAGCCGCGCTCACAGCGGCCGCGCTCACTGCCGACGGCTCGCCCGCTGCAGCCGCGCTCACAGCGGCCGCGCTCACTGCCGACGGCTCGCCCGCTGCAGCCGCGCTCACAGCAGCTGCGCTCACTGCCGACGGCTCGCCAGCCACGCTCACGGCTGCCGCGCTCACTGTCGTCGTCAGATCGTCTCGGAGCCACTCCCTGGGCACTCGAGTCAGTGCGTCAGCGCGATTATCCGCCGATCGAACGAGCGCCACGGTCAGACGGAGCTCCAGCTCGATGACCAGCTGACGGATAATCGTCACACGCCGTCGGATGAGCAGCTCACCGCTGGCTTTAGTACGGAGGCGCGCGCGGCCACTGATCGCGTCGTCGATCCACCGCTTCACCGTCACCGAGTCGGTTCGGAGGTCGATTCTCCGTGCGCCCCACGCAACAGCCAAGTTGATGCCTCGAATAGCGGCATCGAGTTCGGCCATATTTATGTGTACAGCGTCGTCTCGCCTGAGCCAGCATGCGTCCTCGATCACCTCACCGTCTGTGTTTTCCAGGACCACTCCGGTGGCCAGCGAGCTGGCGTCTGTCCAGGCGACCACCTCGTCCCCGTCGACACACCACACGCCACGGGCCGGGTCGTCACTGGCGAGGCGACTCGCGATACAGTCCATCTGCACGCGCAGCGCGGAGTCATCAGTGATGTCGTCCCATCCGCGCGTCAGCTCATTTACACGCCGCTTAAGCCATGCAACCGCGGGTCGAAGCCACCCACACACTGGTACGTGGGCCACTAGCTGTCCGCACCACGCGAACACAGACCGGCGAGTCACACGTTCTGGCGGCGCGCTCACGGCATTGTCCCGCTTCCACCGCAGCTGTCCGTTCTCCTCGTGCACCCGCAGGCCCAGGAGCCGCGCTCCACTGGCCGCCCGCTCCGGCGGCTTACAGTCCAGCCCAAACTGCGCGAAATGCGCCACCACGCGCTCGGCACTGACAATGTCCTCATTTACAAGGAGATCGTCCACATATGGGAGGACGGCACGCCCGATGTCGGGGTCCTGATCGAGCACAGCACGCACGACAGCCTTCATCACGAGGGGCGCGATATTCAAACCAAAACCTAGGCGGGTCAAGCAGAATCGCTGCCCCCGCACCATCACCGTCTGAAACGGCCAGAGTCGCTCCTCCAGGTGCAGCTGGAGGTAGGCACGCTTCAGGTCCACGACCGCCACATTTGCGCCGTGCCGGCGCCACTTGCGGAGCTGTTCCGCGCACACGTCGCTGTCAGCTGTGTGAGCCTGCACAAAGTCATTCAGTTCCCGGTAGTCCAGCACCGGTCGAACTTTCCCCCGATTGCGCTGCTCCACAGCCATTAGCGGCACCAACCCTTTCGGCGGCCCCTGCCGCCGCTCGTCATACGGCACGAGCCACTCCCGCTCTATCCAGTCGTCAAGTTCTGTCTCGAACTCGTGACGAGCGGCGGGCGGCACAGCATACTGCGGCACAGCGTTCGTGAGGCACTGGGGTCCTATTCCATCAGACCATTTCCATGCAACCGACCACTTCCGGTCAGCCGCGTTGAACTGCACCCGGAAGTCCGGCGTCTCAATGTCTGGCGGCGCACGGCACACTGCTCCACAGAACCGCACCACAGAGGGGGACAGCACCGTCACGCCCCCGAGAGCCGAGATACCGCTGACCCCGAGCACCATATCCACGCCGAGCGGCCGCTCCTCCACCACCAGCGTTTCAAGCGCGGCACGATGGCCCGTCGGCGCCTCCACCGTTACACTGCCAATGCCGCTGCATTTCAGGTCGTCGCCGCTGATCGTGGTGACGCGCACCACCCGTCGTCTCCACTGCGCACAGAATGGCGCGTAGATGATGGTGTCGGTGCTCCCGGTGTCGATGAGGACCGTGCACTCTCGTCCGTCCACGTGCAGGCGTGTAATCGGCAGCGCACCGCTCACTGTCGCGCAGGAGAGAACGGCGGTGCTGACCCGTCCCCTCCGGCCCCGTTTTCCGACCGACGCGGACATCTCGCAGCGATATGACCGGGCTCTCCGCAGGTCCAGCATCTCAGCGGACGCGGCACGCGCGGAGGCCGTCCACGCGTCGGCACCGGCGGCTGGCCGGGACCAGGCGCCGCAGGTGGGTGGCTAGCCGGCGGCGGCACAGTCCGACGCGCCGCTGCTGCTGCTGCGGAGAGCCGCTCGTCGGTCAGTACAGCGCGAGCGCGCGCCAGCACCGACGACAGGTCCAGTCCATCTGCCCGGCAGCCAGCACGGATCATCTGCCGGACGCTGTCCGGCAGGCCTGCCACGAATGCGCATGCCAGCGCTCGCTCCGGCACTCCTCCGAACAGCGCCGCCAGCCGGCGGAGGTCTGCGAGGAATACGTCCGCCGACTCTCCTGGCATCAGTCGCCGAGCGGCGAACGCTTCATAGGCGGCGTACTCATCGAGAGCAAACGCCGCCTGGAGGGCGTCTCTCACGGCCGTCAGCGAGCAGCGACTGGCCGCCGGCAGCTGGGACCATACGTGGAAAGCACCGCCAGCGAGGCGCAGAGGAATCACAGTCTCGGCGGCCACTCCCCTCAGCTGGCACAGCATCTCAGCACGCGCCAGCCAGCTGACCACATCTTCGGTCCCGTCAAACTCCGGTATCAGCCGCGCATCAAAAGGTGCCGAAGGTACCGCGACCACAGGCTGTGAGACGGGTGCCGAGTCTGGCACACCACCATCACCAACCGGCACCGGCGCTGTCACCGGTCGCGGGACGATTGTCGGCGCCACTGCACTTGCCATCACCGGAACCTGGTCCAATGACACTGTCACGTTCGTCGCCATAATGCCGAAATAGCTTGTATTTAAACTCCCACAGAAAATAAACCGACTTTGCAAAAACAGCACTCCGCGGCCGCCCCACGCCGCTCCCTCACGCTCTCCCTCCCGCCGACGACTCGCCGCTCATACATTTTCCACAACAAATACCAGCCGCACGCGATAACTCGCACGCGCGCCCTGCACCGGACGCGCCTCCGCACAGCGGCAACTACACTTTATCACATCAGTCTTTATTACAATCTCAAAGACTCATCCCAACATATTTTAAGGCATACATTTTTTCATTTTTTACCAAATCACGCACCTCCATAACTTACGATTCCTTGTCTAATCGACTATCGAGTAATAAAGGGATGATCCCGTTCCCATAGAGTACGGCAAGATAAGGGCTAGGCTTCATTGCTGAACGGTGAGCATGTTTACTAAACATGCAGCAACATTCATCATGCATTCCAGCCCCACTACACTGCCGTCACCCCAGCCCCTGAGCGTCTAGCACGCCGCGTGCCGTTCTGTAGCGTTTGGCAGCCGGGGGCGGTGCGCCCAGGTGGCCCGGGGCGCCGGCCCCCCGGCGACTGATAGCTCAGTCGCCGGCGCGGCCCGCAGCGCAGTTTGTTGTGCCGGGCGTCACCGGCCGTCAGCCGGCGGCGGCCGTGTTATTTTTTATCGGGCCGCCGTCGCTCGGCGCCGCACTATTCCTGGCCCGCAGCAGCCGGTGCTCGTCGTCTGGTGACCTCGGCTGGCCCGGCCCGGCGCACCGCGGGCGGTCGCCCGTGTCAGCCGCCCCCGGCCCGGCCGCCGGGTTTGGTGGCTGTCCCCGGTCACCGCTGTCTTGGAGGGGCGGGGCAGCGGAGCCCGGCGCATTGCACCGTCACTGTTGCCGCGTTCCTGACGCAGCAAGCAGAAAAACACTCATTACCAGGCTGGATTAGCTGGTGGCTCGGGCGACACATCACACGCCCGACATCTACCCTGCCAATGGATTATTCATGCGGAAAACAGCCCGCTATGTCGGAGACTGCGTATTCATTATATCAATGGTAATGTTACGTCGTCTGGTAGGGGACTGCGGCACGAGGGCTGCTCCGGCAGCAATCACAAAGCTCTTTGGGCCTCCGTATATCACCTGACTTCATCATACCATCCTGCTCTAATGCTGCCCAGCGATCTGACCCGACCCGACCCGGCCCGATCGAGCCTGTCGGCCGGTGCCAATCGAAACATAATGACTGTGTTCGCCATAAGGCGCTGCGTTTCGCCGCGTGAAAAATACTGCCGGCGCCGGCGGCGGTACCAATCACAACCGTCCGGGTGCGATGACCTCAGGGATCACCGGCGATGAACCGGCCGGTGAAAATAGCGTCCGGAGCCGCCGGCGGTACTCCATTTCCTCGGCAGTTCCTGAACACGTCGTTTGGCGAGCAGCGGAAGGCCTGGTGACCCCGGCGGCCGGAGTGCTCACCTCGAGTCGCCGCCGGACGACCCCGGCATACCGGCGCGCGCCGGCCGCCGCCTGACCTTGACACGGGCCGAACGGCAGCCGACCCCGTGGCCGGTCAGGACCCCAGGTCAACCGCGCCCGCCGGGACGCCCGACGAAACCGAGAGTGGTGGATGAGAGGAGGTGAAGGTGGCCGGGTCTCTGCTGGTCCCCCGGCGGCATATGAGGGCGGGAGGGATCCGGGTTCCATAAAATGGACAGCAAGCCACCAAAATGAAAAAAGTAAGGGAGCTCACCGGTATTTAGGCAGCCTGACGGAGATCCCCCACCTTCTGCTGAAATTTGGAATCAACGACCAGCGACCATCCCTCCGTAAGCCAGTTGACAGAGTTCGTTCATGCGAGTCCGTAAATGGTGTCTGGTGATCAATCTCTCTTAGGGCATGAGACAGTGGCCACTGACTAGCCTCTTTTTGGTGTCATCAGACAGAGAGTTGCCTCTGTGGGCTTAGTAGAATGCGGCCGGTCCCACGGATAGGGCACGCCCTGGCGGGGGCTGACCAAACCAGACACGCCAGGTCGAGACCGGCGGGCGGGCCGGGCCGGGCCGGGCCGCCGCGCCGGGCCGCCCGCCCAGGGGGTCTGTTTGTTGCCGCGGCAAGGCGTGAAGAAGGTGCGTCGATGCGGGCCCGTGTTGATGGCCGAGCGCTATGAAGCTGATGTATGCCGCCGCCGCGCCACCGGGTTGCCAGCACAGAATAAGCTCGGCTATTTGTGGCCTGTTTTTGGTGGAGTCTCCGCGCTCAGCGGCCGACCCGCCGCACGCCGAACGCCGTTAGCGCGTGGTTCTTCACCCGGGCCCCTGCAGCTCCGGGAGAAATCAACGTGATTCATGGAGCTCTGTTAGTGAATCGTGATGCCATTCAAAGCTCTGAGGCGCCACCCACCGGAAGACTCGGTGATCTTTCTAACTCTAGCTCAAACGCATCATGAAGGAAGTGTGAGACGGCATGATTCAAAATGCGTCGGTCATAATTGCAATATTGTATAGGTACGCATGCACATGCAACTTGCTGCTGCCGCAAAAGAAGAATAGAAAACTGCTGGGTGAAACACTGCTCGTATGATGCATGAAGCTAATTAACGTAATTCCTGTCAAAATTGTAAAAAATACACATGAATTACGAGTTCGGCGATGTTTTCCAGATCTGGCGAAAACCAGCTTAATAGAACAGGAAATCAGTGGATAAAACATCGTCCATGGTTATTGAGTATTGAACGACACATTGTAATGTTGCACGCGTCTGTTGGGCTAACTGGTATGTCTATTGGTCTGCAAGGTGCGTCTTTGATGAGTCTGTTGTCCACAGAGGGTTCTCCGGCGCCCACAGCGTCCACAGAGGGCCTCCGGCGCCCGCGGCAGCTACCGTCCAGCCCGTAACGAGCCGGCCCTCCCGGCGGCGCCCCCCGCTGTCAGCGTGCCGCAGCGGCGCGCCAGTGGCCGGCGAAACTGGCGCAGACGGCAGCCATGTGACATGTGCTAACCGGGCGCGCAGGCAGACAATGCGGCGCCCGGCCGGCGGTCCGGCGGCGACCCCCGGCGACCCCCCGGCGAACCCCGTGCCGTGCGGTCGCCGGACACCTTTGTGGCGGTCGGCGATCCATCAGAGACGCCGGCCGATGGTCACGACGCGCCGGATTAATTCACGACCAATTTAGAAATTAATAACGGCCCAATTTCGATCCATCACGGCTGGCAGCACAATTGGATCGATCATTGGGTGCATTCGGCACGCTATGACGTCAGCGGCGGAGCAGCGGGGACCACCGGCGCTCCTCAGGACGGAGAGGGAGCGGGGGAGAGGGACGGCTGGTGACCACCCTTCACCGCCATCAGGCCACCGCTGTTTCCAATAACAGCTTTCCACCGAACGGGGATCTTTCGAGGAAAAGGTTTTCAAATAAAGACTTTCAAAATTATTGAAATGAAATGCATCTTTGCTCAATCGTGTACACTATCTCTGCTACGCTCCTAGATGTGCACTCGTGTGCACATCTGGGATAAAACTATAAACGATGTAGAAATAGCTAGCGAACCGGACATTGTCCTGAAACGTTCACAAAACAGTGTCATTTTGCACATCTTTCAACTTCTTTTGCAGCTTTTAACTTCTTTTGCAGAAGCGTAGCATGGTAAAACGACGCGTTGTCTTTATCTAATGGTGATTTAGAGATCTCTTATTCAACGAAGTTTATTGCTGCAAATATATGAAAAAACAAAAGCAAAACTAGCGGTGTGTTGGCAAGTCTTGTATCTGGCTATTCCGATGCATAATACATATGAAAATATATGAAAATGCAAAGCTTTGTCATTTGAACGCATATATGTTTTCTTAAATGATCCGAAAGCATTCCATGAAAAACAAGAACTTGTATCATTATTGCTTGTCGAAAATTTTATTCAATAACCAGTCGAATATTTGTGTAATTCGGTACAGCATAACCGGTTCCCAAACGTCAAGAGTTGTCTCTCTGCGTATGTAAGCCTCGAAATCACCTCCAATTGTTCTGGTACCTATGACGCATCACCGGAGCTCGTGAAGCTGGTCAAATTATGGCCCATGCCACGGCGCAGTGCTTTCCACACAGCTCTCCCACAACAAAAGCCGCTCGAAGACAGACGTGCTCTCGACAGCGCGCACGTACAATTATGCCATTATTTATTTCTCGATTGCTCCAGATCACACAAAAAGCCGCGTGGGTGCTGGCTGGTCGTCGTGGCTGGCCGGTGACCGGCGTGACCCCGAGCCAGCACCACCTGAGTGAGGGAGGGCAGAGCCGAGGGATGGCTCCTCTCCCCCTGCTCTGCCCGCCGCGCGCTTTGGTCTCCCAGACATCAGTTTCCTCTGAGAGCTCCGTGTGGAGAAACCCACTACACGAATGCTTCGATTCAATACGACCAATAAATCACATTACGGCGTCAGAGGTTAATGACACGAAAAACTCGGCCCTCGAAACTAATGGCCGCCCTGAGAGGAAGAATGGCATGCGAGCGAGCAGTGTGAAGACGGTGTCTCTGCCAGTGACCTGTGGGTGGCGCGGTGCCGTGCCTCGAGACGTAGGTAGGTATCTCATCGTGCTAATCCGGCGCAACTTGAGATTCAGCTGGACGACGTGATTGGATGCGATCTCATCAAAGGCAGTAATATTTTGCAAAGATGAGACGGGCATAAACGTTGTAGTTAGTTGCAGTTCGAAAAATACTTGAAACACACACAGAGCGATACCTCAAGTGATTTTCGTGCAAGACTCCCTAACAACGTTCCA